ACTTTATTAGCAAAGAAGTATAAAACTTCTTGCAAATATCTTTTTTGTGTGTGGTCAGAGGATTAGTGGAAAGAGTTTTACAGAAAGAGTTTTTTTAAAAAATTATATTATATTATATATATATATATATTTTTTTTTTTTAAAGATTTAAAATAAATATTTTATAAATAAATCTATAATGATGACCTGTAAACAATAATTTTATTGATTTAAAATTAATCCAAATTAATAAAGAAGCAAAATATCATTTTCTAATTTGTATTTAGAGAATTAGTTTTTTTATAATAAGTAAGTTAATATATAAAAGTCACCCCTATTTTATAAATATCTAGTATATATACAATAAAGATATGCAATATTAACCTGACTGCAGATTAAAAAAAAAAAATAATAATAAATAAATATTTTATAAATAAATGTGAAATTAATTAAACTATTGTCAATAATTTTTATCTTATAATTAAAAAAAAATTTTTTTTATTAAATTAATTTCTTAAATTTAACTATTAATAAAAACGATTAATGTATTACAAATATTATTATTATTATTTTTTTTTTGTTTTACCCTCTATCAGGTTAATGTATTACAAATATTATTGATTTGATTTAAAATGTATAAATTATATACAATATAAAAATCATCAATATTAGTAATAAAGGTCACAATACATACAGTAAATATCAGGTATTGATTTTTTTCCCTTTCAAAAACTTAACAAAATTTAATGAAATAGTAAGAAACCTTTTATAAAATAAGGAGAATAATTTGAATGAAAAAGTTATAAGTATCAAGAATTAATTAAATAAAATACAAAAGTTTGAAGAATTTGAAATCCCATTCTAGGAAATTGGAAATATTATAATAACATCTATCAATTGATACAAATACAAGGTGCGTATAATGACCATTATATTGTTCCAAAACTCTACTATAACGGTCTCCACGCACATTACGATAATAGAAAAGTGAAAATAGTGCCAACCAAAACCAACAACATTAATACCCATAGATCACCACCGCCATTGCCACTAACACCTAGCGCATAAAACGGTGGAGGCACATTAGTCGGATTCAGAGTGGAAGTCACAATATTGGTAGACGGATTGACAGTAGCAGTAGTAACAGTACTCAATGACGAAGTTACTGGAGTGGAAGAAGGTATAACAGGGAGTGGTACACCATAGGTGAAACTAATAGCTAAGGTGAAATCTGACTCACTACTCTGAGGATTAGTTACAGCCAAACATAATATCGCTTGGCCATTAAACGGAGGATTTTTCGATTTTGTACAGCGCAATTCCGGATAATCGAAACATGAAAGATCTTCGAAGAAATAAGAAACTGGACGAGTTGGATCAATGTATAGCTGAAGGTAAGTGTAGTTGGTGGCATAGGTGAGTAGGCCAAGTTGATCTGTATATTGCTTAGGATGATTGCCTTGAACAACAGTGCCAAAATTTGGAGTTGCTGGCTGTGATGTGCTTATTTGTTGCATATCATAACCTATAATACAAATTATATTATAAATGTACGAAACCCGACCATTAAGGCATATACAATTAGAAAGAATACTCGCTTATATAGTTAGTTTGGGACTTGCTACAGATATACCAGGTGTAATATGCGGGTATTACACCAATACCGACGTATGTTTCACCTTGTGCATTGACTTTCGTCCAAAAACTCTGTTTATCGATTGAGGAAGAATTATCATAAAAAGAGTCAGTATAACCTCGAAAATATGTCCATTATCTTCTCCCGTGCAAATTTAACCGACCTTTAACAACAGTAAGACTATCAGAATGCATATTATACTATTATTATTTGATTTTTTCATCATCGAAAAAAAACCAAATTCGCGTACACTCACTGAAAGTATTAGGGGAGTACTGCGTTGATCACTACGAAATAAGAATTGTGACTATAAATAAGGGCAAACCTAACCAAAGAGAGGACTGTCATAATTACTATCAGAAAGGCTAATTGGTCTATCTTTCTTCATGAATAAACAAGATTACAAGATTTATTTTATTGAAGCTTGCTATCAGAGATATACTGTATATAGTATATATACTGTATATAGTTTTTTTTTTTTTAATTCACAATCATGTCAAAATGGCTTGTCTTTATTAAGATACTTGAGAAAATACCAAAATAATTTACAAACCTCACGTAATGACTAACTCATCTTTGTACATTATTAGTTGAAGAACTACACTACTTAAAAAATATGAAATGTCTACTAAGCTAGTTCAAATTAAACAAAATTAAGTCTCAACTAGGTACTCTAAATTAGATTTAGGGAACAATATTATGTTCTTCTAGTAACTTGGCATAGTATCTTTAAGTCAACTAGGGTTATTGTCAATAGTTTGTCACTATTGATTATCCTGAAAAATGATAAATTGCTAAAGTTGGAACTGGAAAAGAGAAAAAATGAAATACAATTTAAAGCCTTCATAGCCTTTTCTCAAAAAGAATCTTGCCTAATTGGAATATTCTTTTTTACTTCATTTGAACCTTAAAAAAAGTCTTCTTTGTTATTACCTGTAGTATCAGATAAGTCTTTATTTAAGTATATACTAAATTGAGATAGTCCAAGAGAAACTAAAAGACCCTAGTTTTCACTTCAAGAAGCCTTTTCATTAGAAAAGAGATGGAATTTCTTTGTATAAATCTATCCCACCTTTTAATGTCATAACTGTTTCCTAGAGTCAAATATATATAGTTGAAGAGAAACCTCTTCTAGAACTTTCTTTCTTATATCACTCATAATGTAATAGGAACATATGATTGTGATCAATAGGAGCTTGTTTACTTTTCCTAAAATCAATGTATTTTATATTAGCTAATTACCTTTGATAAGGATTTGTACTATCCAAAATTCAGGGTCAAACTGAGATAGATAAAATTCCTAAAAAACCATAAATGTGATAGCTAAAAAGAGATTCACAAGTGACTAAAAAGAGAAAAATAAGTCCTTTTGTTATAAAAAACCTTTATATATCTCTTGCTTCAAAAATGAAAAAGGCCTTTATGTACTTTACTATTGATTGTTTTTTCTTTAAAAACTTTTTTGCTATTGGCATAAAAGATATTACTTGGTTTGTTCTTAGTCATCAGAAGTCAAGTTTTTGATCAAAGAGGATTGTAAACAAGTAAAGAAGAGTAGAGATGATTCTTGAAATCATTCTTTAAGAAGTTTTAAGGAAAGTGTTTAAAATTTTTTAGTAAAAAAGCAAAAAAACTTTTTGCAAACATCTTTTTTATATATGGTCAAAGAATCAGTAAAAAAAGTATTATATATATATATATATATTTTTTTTTTTTTTGAAATGACAACTCAGTCTTGTTTTATTAAAGTTTCAAGTCAGGACAAAATGCAAATACAAGAAATAATTACTAATAAAACATTCCTATAGTTGTTTATAAAAGTTAAAATTTTATATTACTACTACCATTTTGATTCTGTAAGCTGGTTACTCTTTGAGAGTTTCATTGGTCAAGGGCATATTGTCTGTTTCTCAACTACTTTCAATATTCCATGTTATAAAATTCTAACTACTTCAATTCATGGGATGGCTTGTTATCAAGAAAAATAACTTGGATCAATCTAATTTATGTACTGGGAAAGAAAATTTATTGATCCTCCTAAACTTCTTCTGATGCACATACTCAAGTAAGATATGCATTTCAAAGAAAAATTTGAAGAGAGGTGGTTGTGTTTAAAAGGTGTATTGGTATACAATGAGAGAGTAGAAGTATAAAAACCCTCCAAAAAGATACTATTCCAGATGTTGATATATCTATTAAAGAGGAAGAGAAGAGAGAGATCTTTATTAATTATCAGATAAATTCTGTTTCAACAGTTTTCTTTCCTAGATGCCACTGATATAGAAGGTTTGCTTGTCTTATATCCACCTGCATCCAAAGCATATGATTTATGGTGAACCCCAGATTCTTATGGAGATGAAGAAATGCATTCAGACATATGAGGTAACCAAAAGGAACTTGTTTACTTCTTTTACTAATATAAGCTCTATTTGTCCAATTATAGTATGAAAAACTTTTGCTACTCAAAATTTAGGATCAAACTGAGATAAGTAAAATTTCTCTAAAAAAACTGAGAATAAGTACTATAGAGAAGCTATTAATGACAAGAGAGTAGAAAAGTTGTTTCTCACATAAACTCACTTCTGTATTGTTTTTCTATAGTGTGAGATAATGACACATTGGTTCATCTTTCTTTTAGAACTTTCTTGCCCTTGATAGGAAAGGTGTTGCTTGACTTTCTGGTCATTAGTGATCAAGTTTTTATTTGAAGAAGAGTATTAAAAAGAAGAAAGAAAAGTAATGATGACTCTTGAAGTTTTTTCAAGTTGATTTAAGAAGAGTATTAAGACTTTATTAATATAGAAATATAAAAACTTCTTGTGAACGTCTTTTTTGTGTGTGATCAGAAGATCAGCAGAAAGAGTATTATATTATATATAATATATATATATATTTATTTATTTATAATCAGTTTTGGCATATCTTTATTGAAATTAGATATCTAATATTATAAATAATTTATAATTTATAAAGTAAATCTATTTTATCTTAAAGTTTATTTTTTTAAAATGATCTATCTATTAACATATTATAAGAAATTTTAATACAATCTTTTAATTAATTACTTTTTATAATTGTGAATAAAGATTTAAATCTTAAAATTTGATTATTGTCAAATTATTGATTCAAAGTTTTATATCTTGATATTTTTAAATATAAAAATAGAAAATAATAAGATATTTTAATTATTGTTAAAATACTATTATAAATATTAAATCAAGCAAACAAACTGTAGAATACTTTTGAGAAATAATTATGTAAAGCAACCTTTAACAAACTAGTAACAAAGAAAACATCCCAATAAAAAAAAAAACTGTATCAAATTTATTAGTTGCAGAAAAGCCCTACAACTTAAAAAACTTTACAATAAAGCAGAAACATCAGATTAAAAACTATTGTACCCAATATAAAATTTCTAATGTGCCATAGAAATCTTTGAAAACAGATATCCAAGATATTATAAAAAGTCTTAAATTTATATATTAAAAATTGGAAGTGAAAAAAATAAGAGATGGTATTAAAACTGCTCTGGAACAGAAATGTGATAACTTGAGAAACAATAAAAAATGGATAGTTAGCTTTCTAACCAATTGAATTAGAAATAAAATAGTACTAGATAGGGTTAAGATCAAGCTAGAGGATAATGAATACATTACAACTCATAAAGATGAAATCAAAAAGAAAATAAGATGGTACCATTGTGAGACCTTCAAAAAAGAAAAGCTAGCTATAACAGTTTACCAGAATATTGAAAAGAAGAGTATAAACCAAGAAAATATATTTAAACATCTTGTTACAATGAATTATTTGAGCCAATCTCACAAAAAGAATTAGGTGAAACATTGAGAGCTCTTCCCAATAACAAAGTTTCAAGAAAATCTCAAATTAGTTATAAAATACTAAAGAGGTTAAGCCAAGAAGAAAAAAACTTCTTGAGAAGAATGCCAAATAACTTCTTAAAATGAGAAGTCACTCTGAAACATTGAAAACAGAGTTATATATATCTCAATAGCAAAATCCAAACTTTGGAGCTATGAACTCTCAAATACTAGACCTATTATTCTATTAGAAGTTATAAGAAAATGGTTCATCAAAATTCTTATCAATCGAATAGGAAATATTTGTAAAAACAATAATATTCTTAGAGGATCAAACTATACAGAACTGCCAGAAGAAAGTACAGCAGAACCAATTCAAATTCTCAACAATATCTGTGAAAATGCTAGAGAAAACAAAAAGGAACTATAAATACTTTTTCAAAATATTGCAAAAGCATATGATACAATTAGTCTAGATATACTAGTAAAAGCAATAAAAAGAATCAAAGCTTCAAAAGATTTTATAAAGATTATATTGTGCCTTTTTCAAAATAGAGAATTCCAGATCATATTCAAAAATGATCTTATGCCCTAATTAAAGATGCTTTCAAACTTCTGATAATAGAATAGAAAAATTTTACCTTATATAAATTTTTACAGAAATCAAGTGGGTAAATAAAACTTTAATTATTCTATAAGACAATTCATCAATATGAATAACAAGACTATAGTATATTAATGAATATTACAAAATAGAATAGAAAAGAAATGAAGTTACCAAATTTAAGAACAATAAGACCATATATAGGATCTAGTATGGAAGAGAATAAATAGTCATATATAAAATATATCTTTTAAAGATTCTCAAAGAAAAAGCTTTGTTATCAAATTGATGAATAATAAACTACTAATACTGAGTAAACTGATAATAAGAATATCAAACCTATACAAGCAAGTGAAATGTATTGCATGTGATCTTTAGGAGAAAGAAACAAATAATCACATGCTAGAATGTCTAGCATATAAGGAATAGATAAAGAAGATATGAAATAAAGGTCTTAAA